TCCGACTAGAGCAGGTAAATATATCGAACTTCCAGAAGTGAGTCTTCCTGCTAATAATAATGATATAGATATATTTGAAGAAAATAATGAATCAATATCCGTTAATGTTTATGAAATTGATGATAATGAACAAATTGTTATTAGTAGAAAATTGAAAAATACAGATGCTTCTTTTCATTTTGATTTGTTAAGAGTTGATGATAAGGATTGCAGTCATTATGTCTATATAAAAAGTTTCAGCAGACTTATTAATAATCAAAAAAGTAATCATAATGGTAAGTCCTATTTTTGTAAATATTGTAATCATGGGTTTGGAAATGAAGAATTATTAAATAAACATTATGATAGTGGATGTATGGAAGTTGACGGACAGCAGATAGTAATGCCTAATCCTTATGAGAAAGTGAGTTTTAAGCATCACTTCAAAAAGTTAAGATGTCCTTTTGTTGTATATGCTGATTTTGAATGTTTGACAGAGGAACTGGAAAAACCTGATGAAGATGAAGATAAAAACACTTTTTCTTATCAAGAGCATAAACCATGTGGTTTTATGCTTAATATGGTTAATGCTGTTGATAATACAAATTATGAATTTATGTATCGTGGTAAAGATGCTGTTGATGTGTTTTGTCAAAAACTTAATGAGATTAGGGCAGAAGTAAAGGAGAAGATGGGAGAAAACGAAAAAATAGACATGACCGATGAAGACAAAGAAGATTTTAAACATGCTAAAAACTGCTTTATTTGTGGAGAGAAGTTTAGAATGAACTATAAGACTGCCAAGGAAGCAGAGAAATATAGAAAAGTTAGAGACCATTGTCATTTTACAGGTAAGTATAGAGGTTGTGCTCATAATGTTTGCAATCTTAATTTTTGTAATAGATATTTTAAAATTCCAGTATTCTTTCATAACATGAAAAATTATGACGGTCATTTAATTATTCAAAATGCTGATAAATTAAGTAACAACAGTAAAATAGGTGTCATCGCTCAGAACAGTGAAAAATTTATTAATATCAGTTTTGAAAGTTTGAGTGTTAAAGACACTTTTGGGTTTTTAACTGCTTCATTAGATAAGTTAGTTTCAATGAGTAAGTATGATAATACAGATGAAGAAGATAAAAGTAAATGGTTATTGCGTGAAAACTGGAAAGATAATTTTAGGTTCAGTAGTAAAAATGATGTGATTAAGAGTGAGAAATGTCTAGATTTGTTAACTGATAAAGGTGTTTATCCTTATGACTACATGAATTCATTTGATAAATTTGATGATGAGCAATTACCGAGTAAGGACGATTTTTATAGTCAGTTGAGTGAAGAAGGTATAAGTGATAACGACTATGAAAGGGCAAAAATTATATGAAAGCATTTCAACATTAAGAATATGGGTGAATACCATGATGTATATTTGAGAACTGATGTATTATTATTGACTGACATTTTTGAAAATTTTAGAGATGTATGTATGAAATATTATGGATTGGACCCTGCTTATTATTGTACATTGCCTAACTTTGCTTTTGATGCTATGCTTAAAATGACTGGTGTAGAGATTGATTTAATATATGACCAAGAAATGTATGAAATGATAGAAGCGGGACTTAGAGGAGGGATGTGTATGGTTTCTACTAAAAACGTTGAAGCAAATAATAAATACATGGGAGAAGATTATGATAAAAAGAAAGAAAGTAGTTCTATTAACTATTTAGACGCTAATAATTTGTATGGGTTAAGCATGATACAAAAACTGCCATATAAAAATCTAAAATGGGATGATACATTAAAAGAAGCAAACATTATTATTACAAAAATAATAGTATTGGATATATTCTAGAAGTGGATTTAGAATATCCTAAAGAATTACACGATTTACACAATGACTATCCAATGGCACCTGAGGTTATGAATGTTAAAGCCAACATGCTGTCAGATAAACAAATTGAAATTTATGAATTTTTGAGTCATAAAAAACCTACGGATGAGAAAACAAATAAATTAGTCTTGAATTGAAATGATAAAGAAAAATATGTAATCCATATAAGAACCTTACAATTTTATTTGAAGCAGGGGTTAAAACTTAAGAAATTTCATAGAGCAATTAAATTTGAACAAAAAGAAGTTTTAAAACCGTACATTGGGTTTAACACTGAGAAGAGGAAGAATGCTAGAAATGACTTTGAGAAAGATGTTTATAAATTGATGAACAATGCCATATTTGGAAAAACAATGGAGGATAAGCGAAAACATTTAGACTTTGAAGTTGTGAGTGATGAAACTAGATATATGAAGTGTGTAAGTAATCCTAACTTCAAACATAGTCATATCACTAATGAGAATTTGGTTGGAGTTGAAAAGCAAAAAACAAAGTTGAAACTAGACAAACCTATATTTATTGGGATGAGTATTTTAGATTTGAGTAAGCAACACATGTATAAATTATATTATGACGTTATGAAACCTAAATATGGAGATAATAAAAATGGTATATACTGATACTGATAGTGTTGAATTTCATAATAAAACCAATGACATTTATGAAGACCTGAATACAAGTAAAAAAGAAATATTTTTTTCAGATTATCCTAAGGAACATAAATGTTATGATGAGAATAACAAGAAAGTATTAGGTAAATTTAAGGATGAATTAAAAAGTAAAATAATAACAGGGTTTATAGCCCTTCGTCCTAAATGCTACGCTTACTCAGTTTATGGTGATGAAAAAGAATATAAGAAATGTAAGGGCATAGCAAAAGGCACAGTAAGACGTCAAATGAAATATGAAGAGTTTGAGACGGTTTTAAAAACTAATGAGGTTGTACATAAGTCATTTAATAGTATTAGAAGTAAAAACCACATAACTTTTAGTATAACAACTAAAAAAATGCTCTTAGTAGTTATGAAAACAAAAAATATTGGATAGATAGTATAAACTCACTTTCTTACGGCCATTATAAAATACATTCATTGAAAACGACTTAAAGAAATATTGACTTAATATCTTAAGAGGAAAATGCCAATGATAGGAGTGACAGAAAAAGAGCTGGAACAGGATAGAAAGATAATATTGAGTTTCATTAAGGATAATCCTTATCCATCGTATAAACAAGTCATTGAAATAATTAAAAACGATAAAACAATGGAAGATATATATCTAGATATGTTTGCCGAGTATGGAGAACAAAATCATCAATGGATGAAAGAGATTTACGAAAACATAATGAAAGAAGAACTCGTTAAACATAATGGTAATAGTATTAATGAAGAGGAGGAATGACAACAATGCATTGTAATTATTATACTTTGATACCAGTGTTGCGTTATTTAATACAACAAAAAGCACCAATGAAAGATTATGACGTTAACTTAATCTGGTATAATATCAGAAACATCTTAAGCAGTTCTTGGAACAACATAGGAGACTGGAAACACTGAAAATAGGTTTATTCATATTATCTATAATCATAATATAATAATAACATGTAAAATCTTATATGTTATAATTATACTGTACTTATGGTTTGTTTCTTAATTTTCTTAATGCCTTAAAAATGACTTAAAGAAATAGTGCCTTAATATAATAAGAGGAAAATGAACGGTGATAAAATCAATAATTATATCAATAAAAAAATGCTATGATTGTTGTCACTTCAAAAAAGAAAATATGGAATTGTATAAATTGAATTTACCTAATGAAATAGTGAATAATATTATTAATTCTTCAATGGATGGTGAAGAAGACATATGTAAAAATTGTAAAAATTGGAGATATTATCAAGAATTAATCAAATGTCTGTTGGGAATAAAAAGAATAAATAATAGAAATGTAGAAGATGAGATTTTAATATTTCTAACTGTAAATAAAATACCACCTTACGATTATGTTAAACAGTTTCTTAAAATCAGTAAGAAAAATATGAAATGATTTATGATATATTATGGATGTTGGGTTATAGTCAAGAGAAAGGAGAAGATGTTAAAGAAAATATCAAACTATTTATTGAAAGTAAAAAGTTTAATATTCAAAATACATTGAGAGATATTAATATTATTTTTAAAATGATGTATGAAAGAAGTAAGACAAATCAATTAAATAATTATCCTGTACTGAAATTATAATCATACTATGATAATAACATGTAAAATCTTATATGTTATAATTATACTGTACTTATGGTTTGTAAAGATTGAAATATTTTATTTTTTCTTGATTTGCTGACTCTTTCAAAGTGCGTTGTTTAGACTTGGTATGCTTCTTCAGTTGTTTCGTGCTTTGGCTGTTTGTTTTTATTTTGTTTGATACTCTTCTGATATTTTTGTTGGTATGTTGATTTGTTTTTTGTTGATGTGTGTGTGTTTGAGTTTGGGTTCTTTGATGGTTTCTATTTTTGCTGTTTTGTTGGTATGCTTGTTTGAATTATTTAATGTTGTATGCTGTGATTAAATATTTTTGTTGGTGGTTGTGATTATGTATTTTGTTTGCTTGTTGTTCTGGATTTTGTTTTCTGTTTGTTGTGTTGCTGATGGAGAAAAAATAGTAAAAGTAGAATTCCTAGAATTCTCCTTTTACTATTTTTTCCCCCACCCTTACATTTTCAAAAATTCTCATAAAAAAGCACCGCCACCCCCCTACCCCCTCCCCGCGTTCCGGATTGCGTACCCTGTTCCGGATCGCGCCCCCCCCCCCTTGCATTTTGAAAATTTATCAAAAAAAGCACCGCCACTCGACCCTGCTAAGAGAGATTGTAACCCAACATCTGATCGCTGTTGGGAACAAAAACGGCAGAAAAAAGGAAGGGATTGAAAGGTAGTGACGTGCACGAGTCAAGCTGTGTGGTGGGAATACTTTCTCAATGGAGGCACTGTGCATCGCTGGAACAGCAAAACGCCAAAGACACACCTTGCCCAAAAATGTGTGGAACGAGTGAGCTATTCTTTATTGAGCGATATGGGGAGATTCGCCATCCCAAGCATCCCCGTGCCCCTAAGAATTGTTTCGCGTCCTGTGTGCAACGAAAAGCCCGCGGCGAAGCAGATTACGTTCAACAGAGTGAGGATCAGCATGAACACTCGCTGCCCTGAAGGCTCAGCTGGAGAGCGGAGCTGGAAGAGTCACCAAACATACACAAACATACACAAAGCGCACAAAGGCTGAGAAGGCTCGGCCTTCTCCCAGCCCCAAACTCACCAAGCACGCGTAGCACATCGTTCTCTTGGAAGTCCTGAACGCAAGACACGCAAGACACGCAAGACAAAGGACCGCAAAGGAACGCAAAGGAACGGCTTTGCCAGCCCGAGGCCCCGAGGCTGCGAGGCCCCAGGCTGCGCTCCTTGCTGGATCCGCCATGTCCTGAGTTCACGCGCGTCCCGCGTCCCGTGCGTCCCGTGCGTCCCGTGCGTCCCGTGCGTCCCGTGCGTCCCGTGCGTCCCGTGCGTCCCGTGCGTCCCGTGCGTCCCGTGCGTCCCGCGCGTCCCGTGCGTCCCGTGCGTCCCGTGCGTCCCGTGCGTCCCGTGCGTCCCGTGCGTCCCGTGCGTCCCGTGCGTCCCGTACGTCCCGTGCGTCCCGTGCGTCCCGCGCGTCCCGTGCGTCCCGTGCGTCCCGTGCGTCCCGTGCGTCCCGTGCGTCCCGTGCGTCCCGTGCGTCCCGTGCGTCCCGTACGTCCCGTGCGTCCCGTGCGTCCCGCGCGTCCCGTGCGTCCCGTGCGTCCCGTGCGTCCCGTGCGTCCCGTGCGTCCCGTGCGTCCCGTGCGTCCCGTGCGTCCCGTACGTCCCGTGCGTCCCGTGCGTCCCGCGCGTCCCGTGCGTCCCGTGCGTCCCGTGCGTCCCGTGCGTCCCGTGCGTCCCGTGCGTCCCGTGCGTCCCGTGCGTCCCGCGCGTCCCGTGCGTCCTGTGCGCCCCGTGCGTCCCGTGCGTCCCGTGCACAGTGACACGTTGCGGCTTGCGGCTTGCGCCTTCTCATCAGGAGTTCTCTCCTCTGCTTTCCCTGAGAGTGCTGCGTTGCATAAGCCACTTGGGTTGCCCTTGGCCTGACAGGTCCTTCCACCTTTCGCGCTCCTGGCGCTTCCAGTCCTGACCGTGTCACTCAGCTTTTCGCTGCACAAATTGCTCAAATACAGCCCCCATCGGTTCCACCTGCACCAGGTGCGCCTGTTTCACACCGGGTGCAAGTGCCTGAATTCTGCATAAGCACCTTGAACAGACTGGCAGCATTCCAGAGACGGCTTGCCCCGGGCTTCAACCACTGCAATTCATCCGGCACAACATTCACCATTCTCTGCGTTCGTCAACATGACGTGCCTACTCCCAAACGGCACGCGATGCAAGCGAAGCAAAAACGACTTCAACAATCCTAAGTACCCTCTCACATGCGAGCTTGCGGGAAGCTCATACTGCATCAACTCCAATGCTCAAGCTACGAAACCCGGAGAATTAGGCAAAAGCTAGGAAGAGGCCTACAATACGTGAGGGAGAACAAAGCAGAGCCTCGCAAGCACACATATTCACGCATATTGTCATATTGCACTACGATAGTTGTGTGGGCTCAGGGAAGGGGATATGACAGGCATGTTGAGCAATGTTGTTGTCTAGACATTCATGCTACATGTTCAAATGTGAACAGAGTCAAACAACATGCAAACAAAAACAACAGAAGCAACTATCTGCAAACGGATCGCAATGACTAAGCCACTGCCTGAAAGAGGGGGCAACAATATCCGCCGACCTGGCTAGCACATGAGCATATCCGAAGATTCATCAGCAGCTATTGTTTTACAAGTGTGCCGATAGACCCGACTTGGTGATGCTGGGGGAGGATTTCATCATGGCTGTCGTCCTCCTCATCATCACCATCACTGATGTTGGTGATGAGTATCCTCATCATCATGCCCCTCATCATCCTCATCATCATCCATCATCATTCATCATCGTCGTCCGAATCTGTTTTGATATACGTTTCAATTGTGCCGCTCAAGTTGGGTCTAAGGATGCGAAGTCATGATGATAATCATGACTGCTGGTGATGCTGGGGTCATCATCATTATCACCATCATCCTTCATCATCACCATCATCACATCATCATAGACAGCGGCTGGGATGCTGGTGCCGAGTCATGATTATTAATATCATTGCCATCATCGTGATCCTCAACATCGCCATCATTGCTCGTCATTGCTCGTCATTCAGCATCTGGGTTGGCGGGTCCGCAAGACTGCTGGGCAGCTTCAAAGAGGTCCGTGTTCACATAGAATCCTTCTCCGCTTCGGGGTCGGCACTGGGCAGTCCCTAAATTTGAAGCGCCCAACCGACGCTTCCGTTGCGAAACATCACATGTTCTCGAATAGCCCTGGATCGTGTTGGGTTCCATCATAGGCTATAGACAAGCACATTCCGACTCCAGTTGCTCTCAACTCCAGCCCAACAACCTCCTAAGTTCCTGCACACAACCAGATTTATGCCCAGTCCTTCATTTCTGTTTCACGTTGATAGAAAAAGCTCATGGGATG